TGATACCTGGAGACCCATATTATCCAGAGTGTTACAGGTTTTTAGTATCTCCTACAACAGCCTAACAAACATGGAGGTATGTTTAATCGTTATAGAACTGGACCAGACTGTCTGGATAATGGGAGTCCAGTATTTGCTTTGACGCTGAGCACTGCCAAAGCAGAATAGATCATAGACTTATCAGAACCAGACCTCTGAATAGTTGACCCGCATCACAGAGACTAACCAGTATTTGCCATAGAATATCAGAAGTGACAGGTCTCACCACTGGCACAGCTGTGATTTTTCACACACAAAAAACCTGAAAAGGTCAAAGAACAGTAGACTTATTTGTTTGGTTGTTCAGTGGTGATGCTGGGGAGATGATTCTACGGAGCTCTAGCAGCTGACCACCATTAGGTGTTGGATGAGGACCGCAATCCCTGGGTTTTTCCTGGGGTGTGACGATGCCAGATCTCAGGAGGAAAGAGTATTTAGGCAGTTCCTAGAGCACAAACCAATGGAAGATGAACGACTTCTGGGACATTGTGTCCATCTGATACCAGCAGGTCACTCTTCAGCTGATTCAAGAGCTAAGTGATGCTTCGGTTCAAATCTGGGCTGAGATTACCCTGAATACCAGCCATCTTTTCATTGAACGTCAGTAACGTCAGGCATGGATATGAATTAATTCAAGCTTTATAAATGCAATGAAATTTCCACTAAATAAATAAGACTGCAGCAGTTTTATCCTCTTGGATTCAGTTCAAACTCAACCATCTGAATTTGACAAAAATGTCCATTTTCATCAAATAATGAGGCATCATTTTATTACATATCACCTCATCCATGACATCTACAGCATCACGTTTTTGAGCCAAGCAGTGGATGTATTTGCAAGGATTTTTAGGTTTTCATGGACATTATCTCAGAACACAGTTTTTACACAGTGAAACAGTGTTATGAGTAAAATCAGATAAAACAACAAACTGGAGAAAAAAAAGTTCACAAAAGCTGGGTTGGAAAGAAATGATTTCAAGCAGCAAGTTCAACTTGTTTAGTTTGTGCATCTTGAAGCCTAGTGTTGATATAACTGGTGCAAATTGAAAAATAAATGACTTTATATCATGTGTTGTTTTACAGCTGTGTGAAATTTTAAGGGTAAGAATCCAATTTGAAAAGGTGATTTAAATAAAAAAAAATAAAATACATACACATCTTTGCTTATTATATTCCCTTTGTTTGAAGCTATACTATACTGCATTAATATGATCTTTTTGGGTTTGTTTCTTCCCCCAGATTATCTTCAAGCTAGATAGTCAAATGTTGCTTTTGTTTTCATACTAAAAGCTTTTCTTTATAATCATGTCCCAGTATCAGTTCAATGTTGCTGATATGACAAATACGTTGCTTTTGTTACTCCTGTCAGTCTGATTAAATTATTTAGAACAAACTAACAGCTGATATGATTAAAATCTAAGGTTAAGTGTTGCATGACTTATTAACATAAATACACACGTCTGTCATTCAGGCATATTGCTGTGTAAGTTAAGCAAACATGTGCATCAGCTGCTTTTTTGAGTAAACCACAAAATCTTTGTGCTTTTAAAGGTTTTCATTTGCAAACTGATGCAACTACATGAAGATATGCATGAGGCCTTCCAGTTCTATACAGTTCTAAAGAATACCATTCCCCATTTCCAAAAATTATTCTTGTAGATATGAATTGAAAATGGGTAAAAGGCATTTTGTTTAAACCTACAAACTGATTATCGTGTAGATAGCAAAAAAGAGACCATCTGAAGTCATAATGTTGCAAAAGCCAAAAGTTCTGAGACTGACAGAAATCTTTTTATAAAGTTGGCAGCTACAGTTTTCAATATCATTATTTTATTGAATTAAAATGCTAACTAAGCAAAATTTCAAAAAAATAAAGTCACAATGTATGCCATTAAAAGGGATTGTTCCTTTTAATCCTAATTATGTTGTCCATCATACACTCCAAAAAACAAGCTAGAAATGTATAAAACATAATTAAATAAGTATTTGCTCTAAAACAAAAGCAGTATTTATATGATCTTATATAATTCAAATACTCATTGCTGTATTGATAGATAAATGTATTTACCTGCTCTAATGAAGGGGAAATACACTTATTTAGCCATTTTTTAATCTGTGATATTGGTATTTGTAATCCGTTTATAAATCATCAACAACTTTAAGTTTAAAAAAAAGAGTTTGCTCGAAGGAAAGCTCTAGGACTGAAGCCGATTTAATTAAATGTGAACTTTTTCCACCAGTGCAGAGCCTCCTCAGGAGTGACAGCAGGCATGAATGGGTGTCTTTACATGAAAAATGAGGAATATGCTTTTGAATGCTGACCTGGTGTGAAGAAGGTCAGAGAAGGAACCACTTTTGTCTGATGCAGACATCAAGGAAAAGACTGACATTTTACAAGATGCATCAAGAATGGACTGGAAGTTATTTTTAATAGAGTGAAGCCCAAAATAAAAAAATAAAAAAACAGAAAAGTTCCAAAGAAGAAGAGAAGAGTACTTCTGACATGCTGAAAGGAAAACATTGTGAGATCATCATTCATATGCAGTCCAGACTCTAGTTCACTAACAGTATTGCTAGGAGCAGTCATAAATAAAAATAGAATCAATACATCCTTCAGGAGCTCCTTCACAGCCTGTTATTAGATCTTAATGCCACTGAAAACATATTCAAGATTTGCCTAAGCATGATGCTTTTCTCTTTGAAGATCATTGAAATGCTAGAAATTGTTATGATTGAACCACAGTTCATAACAAGAAGACCTGAAAAAGTTCAACACTGAAGCGGTCAAATCCGTGAAGGCTTACATTTCTGCCAGTCTCTGAACTTTGGGTCTAGAACTGTCCCGTTTGTCATACCCAGCACCTATGCCTTATTTTTATTCTACTTAGACATTGATAATATATTCCATCTGTAGTAAACAGACACATTTTAGTGGAATACAAACCTATTCTCTGCTAGTTTCACAGTTAATTAATGCTGCTGTTGTTTAATTTACCATTCCAAGGCATCCGATATCACAGAACCGACTGGATGCATTTTCAGACAGATAAAAGAGAAAACTCTGCATTCCAACAAACAGAAATGCAGGTGAATGCTTGTTGTGCCATAAAGTAGGAGCATCCGTTATCTCTGCGGCTCTGAGGAGCACTCGATGAATTGCTGCTGAATGTGCTCCCTGATTTGCTTTTCTCTTATCCTGCAATATTCTGTTTTGAAACAGCTCCTTAAACCTCCCAGACGTCTTTGTTGGTTTGATTGAGCTGATTCCAGGGTTAGAAAAGGGATCAATGAGCAATGCTGTTGCACCACAGACATACAGAGGGCATATGTCGGAGATCAGTGGCGCTTCTTTAATCCGTTGGGTTTTCTTTTGCCTTTTCTTAGAGGTTTTGGGCGTAAGGAGCATCATGTGCAGGTATAAAGGCAGATGACAATACATGGTTAGCCATATCAGGGGTGGCGACACTTTATGGGTTAAAACACAGAAACAAAAGGGATGTCCTCATGTTGCACTCTGTTCATTATTTCTTTATTCTTTTCTTTTTTTTTTTTTCTTTTAGGAGTAGAGAGGTTTTTGTCCTTGGCTGTCAAATTCTGACCAGGCATCGTTCAGTTCCACGAAAATCATCTTGGCATATTGTTCATACGGTTGTCCTGTTGCCTGTAAAGCAAAACAATGTTACATCACAATTATCCTCAAACTTTTTACAAGTAAAATAAGTGCACTGCAAGAAATGAACTAAAAGTATTTTTGCACATAACTTTAATAGGTAAGTCAATAGAAATCTCAATGGAATAACCTATTAGCACCTAAAATACACTTACAAATCATTCCTGTTAGTTTTTTTTTAATGGCAGTTTATATACCAATCTTATTTAAAGAGGCAAATTCTGATTCTATTGGTAGATCTTTTAACTTACCTGCTCAAATAAAGGGCAAATACATTTATTTCAAGAAATTATTTTACTTATTTGTAGATAATTTCTGCTGTGAGATTCAAATATCTTTCCTGGCATACAAATACACTGCAATAGTTTGTATCTAACCAATTACAAAAAACTTTCAGAACTTGTTTGTATATGAACTTTTCCCTTATTCTGTGAGATTTATTTATCTTCTCTTGAGATGATTCCATTTTAGTATGTGTAATAATCTTCCATTGCAGTAAGACAAATACACCTGATAACACTTCTTAAAAAATCACAATATATTCTCAAAACTAGAAGTCTACCAGCAAGTGCATTTGTCTCACTGCACTCTTATTGCACTTACTGTATGCATAATTTTCTCAAAAGAAGAACATTTATCTAAGAGAATCTGCAATTGCTTAGTATATCAAACTCAAAACACAGTCAAAAAGAGAGGTCTAGGTCTAAAAACTGTACACTTGATTAGATGGACATTAATGTGTTTAATATTAAATATAATAGCCTAAAAAGTAATAAAAAGGCAACAAAAAAGGGAAAACCAGGCAGTTTTTCATGTTTAAATAACAGGTTTCTAGCACATTTAATTTTAAATTCTTTATGTATACAAAAGGGGAGTACTTTCTGTCCTTAAACCCATAAAAAATAAATAAATAAATAAAAGAAAATCAGCATGAACTGGAACAATTTTTTTTTTTACTGGAGGTCAGACTCTAAGCTGGGAAAAAAAAATAGGGAAAAAACCAGAAGCTATTTCCTGAAATATCCACTTAACATTTTAACTTTTAAGGACATTCCTATCGATCCTTCTAATATCATATTTGAACATCTTAGCCTGTGCTTAGAAATCTAACAAATACATGAGTCATACCCTTCTTTTTTTTAGGGATACTTGTTACAAAAGGTTTTTGCCCCACTGATGTAAAGAGCTATTGCGTAACAGGAAAATGCTAATCATGGCGCCTAAAGCTGTCACAGAACAACTGATTTCCTGCTGTCCTCTAGTGATCAATCAAAGATCTTGTGACTGCTTGACTATCTTCCTCTGATTGGGAACACTCAGCTGCTTTGGCTGTGCTTTTGTCTAGTTTGAAAGGGCAAACAAATAAGATAAGGGTAGGTGCTTCATTTTCTCCTTGTGTGCACACTGGAACAGTCGCTTTAGAAGCTGAAATCCTGACTGACTCCGCAGGTAAAGACAGTTTACTGGAAGATTATGTTTATTCCTTAGAAAAAGGTCAACGTATTTGAGTTTTTAGGAGGAAATCTTCATCAGAGATTGATTTTTTTCTTTATCTTACAGGAAACATCTGCTTTTTCTGTGGTGCTCTTGGTCAACTTGTTCCAGATGGTTACTTTAACATGAAAATCTTTAATATCCGGGGAAGGAATTTTACTTCCGTCACAAAAATGTCTTTTTTCTCTGAGCTTCAGATACTGATCCTGGTGGTGTGCACCTCAGGAGCTCCGCAGCACATAAAGATCCCAGAGATAAAGAGAGATGACAGTAACGTTTTCCTGACCATGGCGTGGGAAGTGGCCAGCCACCTCCGTCCTAACTCCAGCTGCTACGTCTGCGGTCTGATGCCCTACACAGCTGGAGAGGGTTTACCTCTCATGGTCTTGCCTGCCTCGGACTGTGACATGTGCCGCCTGATGCACATCAACCTTCCTAGTTCTTCTTCTGACCTCAACTGCCCCGGTTTAAAAATGAGACCACTTCACTGTGAAAATGTAAAAGGAAACTGCAACAGATGTTCTGCAACCCCCAAAGCTGTTCCCATTCTTGTCCTCCCTCGGAGGTTCACATGGTGCCTTGAGAACGATGGCCACATTCCGATGGGATATTCGCAGTGCCTTCGTACGTTTAAGTGGGGCCCGGGACAGAGGGAAACAGACTGGAAAGCATTTAACTCTGCTCCTCATCCGTGTCTGGATGCTGCAGGAGAGGCTCGCCTAAATGCTTTAGCTCAGCGCACAGCCACCTGCTCCATCTCCTCTCCTGTGGGGATGTACTGGGTGTGTGGGAGCCTCGCTTACCCCTATCTTCCAGTGGATTACAAGGGACGCTGCGGTTTGGGATACGTTGTGCCAGCAATGAGGGTGACGCGCTCCCTTCCCAAAAGAACTTTCTTTAAACGTGTACGACGTGGAACTTCCGATTTTCTAGGAACACACCATCAGTCACCTTTTAAAAACGCACTCGGTCCGCTCCTTCCTTTTTACGGGGTCATGTCTGCATTAGACCAAATAGCCGATCTGTCCCATTCTATAGAAGTGATAGCTAATGAAACCGGGAAGGCTCTCACACTAATGTCCAACGAGCTCGCCTCTGTCAGACTCCTAGCTCTGCAAAACAGAGCCGCTCTGGACTTTCTTTTAGCCGCGCAGGGAGGAACGTGCGCTGTCATCGGATCCGAATGCTGCACTTTCGTTCCTGACTATAACATCACAATCCATGAAATAGTCAGCCACCTTCATGAGACGGCTAAATCCGTCCACCAGGATGGAAGCTCCGTGTTTGACTTCCTAAAGAATGCCTTTGGATCCGTCAGCAATCACGTCATTCAGATGCTGATTGTTGTGGTCGTTTTCATTGTTACGTTGTCGCTCTTTGTGTCATGTATGAAAAGGTTTATGTTCGGTTAAAGGCAAAGCACTGGAATTATTTACTGATCTATAAAAAAAAAGGAGGTTATTGTGTTTTTTTTATTTTTTAGCCTGGCCATTGGGAGGTGGGCCCATGCAGCATCAGCGATTTTCTATAACCATAGCACTCAAGTTTCAGCTTCAACAGAGCAATGTTTTAGTGATGCCCTTTATTAAGTCCTGAAAGAGTTGTTTATATGGCTAAAATATTACCTGGCCGCTGTTTTTTTTTTTTTAAGACGTTTTTGTGTAACATCCATAGTTATTTGATTAGTTCTAAACTCTTCACCTATGTTAGTCCTGCCTTTGAAACTGGGCTTTACCTGCTCCTTTCCAAACTAATAAGCCATGTAGATGGTGTTTATTAGTCTGTCTGGTCAGGCTACCGTTTTTGGGGCAATTTCCTACTAAGATCAGAAGAAAAAGATGCAGGGACATAATTATTAAGTAAGTCAAAGTAACAACTTAATGTTTTAATGTCTTGTTGTTAAAAGGAACTCTTCTTACCTTATTTATGTTACCCTTAGGATCAATAAAGTATTTTCTGATGCTTAATTCTTGATTTGCATCACACACTGCTTGTTAGTTTTATATTCCTCAAAGCAGAACTTTTTAAAAGCTTCAATAAACATCATTCCTCTAATATATTATGTTGTTTTTTATGTACACATTTTTTTATTTATATTAATATTTAGGTCATATTAATAAAAAATATGAAGAAATTTAGCTACTACTTTGCTGTTGCTTTTCTTTTTTCATTTAGTCTACTTTTCAGTCAGGTTTTTGTCGTAATATAAGACATACAGAACCCCCCCTTGTAGGTTAATAAATCTACATGATAAAATATCATGCAGATTTATTAATAGTCAAATCTTCACCATTATAAAAGAAGAGAGAAATTAAAATTTAAAATGCTTTAAATATTGAGTTTTTTGTTCATATAAATACAAAAATATAAATACTATACAATAAATACTTTAAATAAATAGTTTTTCTAACATATATAACCGTGAATGATGTTCACTTGTTTATAAAGTTAGCTGTTGTTAATGTAATTTCTGTGATAACTTTTATTTGTAAAAAAAACATTTTAATTTGACATTCTGTATGTTTTTAATACATCTTATATTAAAAAAGTACAATTTCTAATCAATGGTGTAAAAGCAGACATGGTGGTGAGGCTGCTTAACAGGGAACAATTCTACTTAGGCTAAAGGGTTAAAAAGCAGCAAACAAACAAGCTTCTTTATGACTTACTTTATCAGGGTGCACAACCAGCACTGCTTTGCGGTAAACCTTCTTGACCTGTTCTGGGGTAACCAGGTCAGCCATACCCACTGGTTTCCAGCGCGTCTCCCCTTCCCAAAGCACAGTGTGCATGGTGGACAGCAGGGCGCGGATGTTACGCTCCTTCCCCTCGATCCAGTCCAGAATCTGGGTCACAGGGAGGTAGGGAAGTTGGGGAGTAGGAATGGAGGCAACAGTGGCCAGGGACCAGATTTAAAACAATTATTAACAAAAACCTCTTTGAGTCATTCTGGCTCTGGTGAAACTAGTAATTAGATGAACTAAAACTTGGCTGCAGAGGACACTGACCACCTCATTAATACTGGAATAAATGGAGGCTCTGACAGCCAGCTCTTTTTAAAAATATCAGAGCTTGTATAAAATCAGGTGTGGAAGTTCAGTACAGATACGTTTTATGTGTGCCGACCTTTATTTTCTCTGGGTCCATGTCTTTGGCCATTTCCTCCTTCCTCATCTCAGCGATTGTCCTGGGGCCTTTTTTCTCTTTGGCCCCTGCAAATCCCTGTCCTGACAGCAGGTCATCAAAGTTGGCATCTGAGGCTTTGGGCTTAGAACCTAGCGCAAACACAAAACCATGAAACATACTTTTGAAATACTTAAAATGATGAAGCCTATTGGCTTCCAGTAACCTGATGAAAAAAAAATCTGAATTGTATTTCTTAAAAAAAACTCAAATCTAAATGTAACAATAAGACATTTCATCAACTTATCCAAATTCCCAAATTTCAAAACAAACAATATTATTTAGCAATCTTTGTCAAACAAAGTTAGTTGTCAACTACCACAGGGCCAATTACTTAGGTATGATTTCACCATTAAAAGAAAAAAAAGAAAACAGCTATTATTCTGATGAAACTTAGCCATGTTGAGCCATAAAGTCAGTCAAACCTCACAGCCTCGCATAAAGGAGAAAGCTGAACTAATAAAAACAATAAAGATAACCATTTCTTGAAATACTATGAGTGTATTTGCCTTTAATTAGAGCAGTAAAGTTAAATGATTGCTAAATTAAATTAGCTTTTTTCCCCCATGATATTGCCCTTAACACTATTTTTAACACTTAAGAATGAAAGCTCAACCTTTATCGGTTGATCTGTATCTGTTAATCCAGATTATTTTGAAATCTGGCTATCCAATCCCAGATTTGTGCTGTCAATATCCTTAGAGCCAATACAGATTTTTTTTCTTCGCTTCACGTGCTAAAAACTACACAAGGAAAAAAAATGTTACAGAGGTATGAAATTAACAACAAAAAAAACTTTAATAAAGAAAAAAACAAAATATTAAAAATGGATAATTAATGGAGAAAGCAGAAATACATGTCTTCAACATGATACCAAACAATAGTTGCTGATTGCACTAATGAATCGGCAAATGCATGCATGTATCAGAGGATACAAGTAAAAAATACTAAGATTGGCAAAACATATTCGCCGCCTGATATTGTTCTATATCTATTTGAAATAAGATCATGGAGATATTTTCTTAGTTCTAATGCAAAATGCTAATTCTAGAGGCAGATTAATTTACTTACTTGCTCAAATCAAATGCAAATTCACTTGTTTAAAAAAAAAAAAAAACCTGCACTAACTTTAAGTTTAATTTTTTCATTGCATTCCTGCAGCCAGATGTATAGGAAACCTACAATGAAGTGTCTCTGGCAACATACCTACCAAATTGATCCAAATTATAGATAAAGATGCACCAATCCAATACCTGGATTGGATATTGACCAATTAGCTGGATTGCATGTTGGTGATTTGATATCAGATACCGGAGATCCAACCCAGTGCACTTTACATTGAGCTGTTATTTATTTCTTTTTGTTGCTTATTTGTTAATAAATAACATAAAGTACATTTATATCTGTGTTAATTTGCTACGTTATGTAACAATTTTTAGGTCAAGGCTAAAGTCTTTACTCGCATGGAAAAAAATATGGTTAATTTTTTGGATGATTTGGATCGGTATCGGATATCTACCGATACGCTCAGCCCAGGTATTGGTATTGGATTGGGAAAAATGGATCGGTGCATTTGTAATTATAGACAGTCCAGTTAATGTAAATTAAAGGCCAACTGGTAAATAGTTACATCTCCAGCTTGGTTTTATTTTGCTTTTTAAGACACTTTATTTATAAAGGGCTTTATAAAAAACGCTTTAATCAGAAACTCACACCTTGAACATGTACATCACAAAAGTCAACATGTCCCTTAACCTCCCCAGTTTACTCACCCATCCCTGCCTGCGCTTTGCCACAGCCGCTTGGAGAGCCTCCTCCCATCGCAGAGAAGCTAACATTGTAGTTGGGTCGATTCTGAGGCGATGTGTGAGGCATGGACGTGTGGCTGGGGCTGGGCTTTGGTTGGCTGGTTGGACCGTGTCCTTGGGCTTGCCATCCCGCACCGCCTCCAGTGCCGGGCTGCCAGGAGGGGAAGTTGGCTCCAGTGTGGGGCTGCCACCCCCCTGTGTGCTGGGGGGATGGTTGTGGCCGGGATGGTGAACCCATTGGTGGGAAGGATGGGGTTGTTCCTGTGGGGGTTGTGGGCTTGCTGGAGAATCCAGAAGCACCTGAAAATGTAGATATAAATGAAGGTAAATTGTATAATACCGAATGTAACAAAAAGTTGAACGGTAAATCTTTAGAGTGAGACCTCCAAGGCTGCCGGAAAGGTTTCCAAGGTCAGCAAATGGATCCAAGGTGTTTGGCTTAGCTTGGTGGGTGGGGGTGCTGTGGACTGACCCCGTGGGACTGGTGGTTGCTGACCGACTGCCGATACCAAAACCTCCTCCTACATTAAGAAAGGGTATTCACAAAAATTATGACATAAATAAAATCAGGAGACTTAATCAAATGTTGCTATCTTAACGCCCTTCACTTTTTTCAACTATTTTTGCACAGATTTTGTGTTAACACTAGATTCAGAAAAACAAATTACCCAGAATACATGCAGATTCAAACACACCAATAAATTCCATCAGCAGGGAGCAATTTGCACAAATCCTTTCCTTACTTGCGTAGGCACCCTCACCTCAGCCACAAACACAGACGGTGTAGAGGTGCTGAATGAGGTAGAGAATCTATCCCATTTTTTAATATTTGCTCTGAGAAAATGCGCCTTTAAAATATATTTATACCATCTAACTTGAGTGAGTATGCCATTATGCTGTTTTTAAATTAAAGAATTATGTATTAAAAAGAAACAAAGAAATGTAGTCCACTAAAGTTAAAAACCAGTTAAATTCCCAGATGTATCAGATTGTAAACATAATTTGAGGTGTCTATTGCAATGACTTGTAGTTGCATCATAAGACATTTCTTGGATTTATACCGTATGTAACTCATAATGACTTTAACAAACGTTGCACCCGTTTTAAAGTAAGCATTTTCGTCTTTTTTGGCTTATCTTATTTAACCTGTTAAGTCAAGATGCTTTTAGAACTAGTTTCCGCCTCAAAATATACAAGAAAGTAAATTAATATTAATAACTAGGCAGTTATCAGGTCCAAAACCTTTGGTCCTGTGTAAAGGTAATACCTAAAATAGTTTTTCTCTAGTTTAACCAATATCTTTGATGTTGCTATTCCAGATTTTCCAAAAAAAGTTAAAAACAAACCTCTGGACTTTGTTTTTTCTAGTGCTGCGTTATAACACTGTTGGGTTTCTGTTATGTTTTTTCTTTTGGATGTTCAGTTTTGCTTTGCTCTTTGTTTTAGAGTTTTTTTATGGTTTAATTCTTATTTTGTTTTGTTCTTAGTTACTATCTTAGTCTTCGTTCTGTTATGTTTTCTTTTGAGTGTTTAATTTTACTTTGCTCCATGTTTTTATAGTCTTAGTGGTTTAATTCCTATTTCGTTGTGTTTTCTAGTTATTTTCAGTCTTCCAAGTTTTTATTTGCTTCCCTGTTGTGTTCTCCTTTTTCCCTAGCTCCCTTTCTGTTCTGCTCTCTGCTCACCTGTTCTCAATCTGCTCATTAGCCCTCTCTTTGTTTTTGCCTTATATAAATGCTCTCTCTCTTCAGTTCCTCTTTGCTGGGTCCTCGTCTAACTTCGTCTAACTTCCTCCAACTCTTTCTCTCTGAGCGTTCCTCCTTGTGTTAGTGATCCCCCTGATGTCTCCGTGGTTTCTGGTTCGTTTTTGACTTATTTTCATGTTTTGATTTTTTTTTAACTCCTGGTTTCTTGTTAGTTTGGACTTAGTTTTCATTTTGGATTCCTGGTTGCCTGTTAGCTTTGGAATTTGTTTA